TTGAGATAATGTACTTCCTGTGAAATTTTGTTGCATCCTGCTGACCTCCCAAATATAATATTAAACAAAAACTAGGGAAGCTGCTCAATCTTCATTCCTTCCCTTCTTAGAACCTTCAGTCAAGAAAGGATATATTGATTACGTTAAGACTAAACTAAGCCTTGACAAGAACTCCATCTGTCAGACTACTTATGAAGAAAAACAGTCACTGAAGTCATAGCTTCACACAAGGCAGCTCTCCCAATGGAGATACTAGACCTTTTCAGTCTGGAGAGATCCAGTCTGTCCCAGCCCTGCCCCACCTGTCACCATTCTTCCCTAGCCTTCCCGCTTCCAAACCAGGAAACAACTAACAGAATGCCAAGAAAACCATGAAATACCGATCATGATGAGATGCATAATGGAATGTTATTTAAGAGGACTATGACAAAATTTTAAAGAGAATCACATTTTAAGTTTTGCAAATACAATAATATATAGAAAAAATGTTTTCACTAGGCTGATGTCTTCGAGTTTGACTTTCTGCCCTCCATGATCCTTTTCTCTTGATAAATGACCTGCTGTATTTTATCAATTCTAGGATGCATTTTTAAATCACATTTCACATCACTAAAATCAGAATGGATCTTATAATCAATGGCATTTTACGGTCACTGTAGGTGAGAAGGTGGCTAAATGTCTGTGTATGCTCAAATTTGGTCACGGTTGTTGTTATATCATGATACATAATAAAAATGTATATCTAAATAAGTCTGAAAGAGCTCATTAGTAAATATAAAATTAAAATTCTATAAATATGAAGGCATTGCATCATCGTTTACCTGAAAGTGTATTCTTCTCTAAATTTTACATTAAAAAATTACATTAAAAATTTCAGATGTGATTAAATACTTCATGTCTTCAATAGAATGCATTATCCACCACTAGAATTATGAAGAGTTTGAAAAGCTTTACATGTAACCTCTAAGAAGTTTTTCAAAGCTCATACTGGAAAAGTTTTCAGGTACTAATAGAAGACATTTTTCCCACTATTCTTAATGAAATATTACTTTTTTAACTTTTTCCTGCTTATTACTAAAAATCACCCAAAATGGAAACCAAAAATCTAGTAAAAGGCACAGGTTACATCAGAATAGCAGTATACTGAACCAGATTAGTGGAAAATCAATTTTTTCCACAGAAGTGGTTTTAGAGAAACTTAGAGAGATTTCCTATATATACTTTAGAACAGCACTGTCATCTAATATATATAATGTGAGCTTCACAAGTAATTTTAAATTTGCACGTTGCAACATTTTTTAACAGTTTAAAAATCAGGTAAAATTAAATTTAGTGATATGTATTACTTAATTCCATATCATCAAAATATTATTTCAATACGTTATCAACATAGAACATTAGTGAAATACTTTGTTTGTCCTGTCCTTGAAATCCAGTGTGTATTTTATACTTACAGCATATCTGTTTGTACTAGCCACATTTCAAATGTTAAATAGCCACATGTGATTGTGGCTCCCATATTGGACAAAACAACTTTAGTCAATATATATATTTATCAACAGAACAAAACAAAATCCCTTCCAGAACATTTCGCTCAAACATGATCACTCACGGAAGTGTCTGGCAGAAATTCAAAAGTGACTTCCACTGCACAATTGTGAACATGAACTACAATAAATAGGTTATTCCAACAATTACAACAATATATTGTTCTTCTGGAACAATCTTGCAGGAGACAAACTAGAACATTGGTCTTCAAAGTAGGCTACTGCTACACAAATTCTTTTGTTTTTTTTTTGTTTTTGTTTTTGTTTTTTTTGAGATGGAGTTTCGCTCTTGTCACCCAGGCTGGAGTGTAGTGGTGTGATCTCAGCTCACTGCAAACTCCGCCTCCCAAGTTCAAGCGATTCTCCTGCCTCGGCCTACTGAGTAGATAGAATTATAGGCATGCACCACCACGCCTGACTAATTTTTTATTTTTAGTAGAGACAGAGGTTTCTCCATCTTGGTCAGGCTGGTCTCCAACTCCCAACCTCAGGTGATCCACCTGCCTTGGCCTCCCAAAATGCTGGGATTACAGGCGTGTCCCACCACGCCCGGCCCACAAATTCTTTTCAAGAAGTACTTGTGTAGAAAGAGTATCAATGAATCCACTTTCAGGTTCTCAACTCTCACATGTATTCTGTCTTAAATGAATCTGCCTAAGAACACCATTTTTTCCCACATGCTTAAAATTAAGCATTATTTTCCAGCTATTCTCAATACTAATCACCAATATGTGTCATCAACTGGAAAAAAAAAAGCATCTAACTAATTGCAGTATATATTGCTGGCGCTGATTCTTTTCAATATAACTGGACTGTTTTTTAGTACTAAAAAATTATTTAGACTGGTAAAACTTATGTATAGGAATTGGCAATACCACTACCGGGTATTTATCTAAAGGAATAGAAATTAACATATCAAAGGGATACATGCACTACCATGTTTATTGCAGCACTATTCACAGTAGCAAAGATATGGAATCAACCTAAGTGTACAACCACAGATAAATGAATAAAGAAAATACGGCACATATAAACCATGGAATATTACTGGGTCATAAAAAAGGATGAAATCCTATCATTTGCAGCAACATGGATGGAACTGGAAGTCATTATCTTAGGTAAAATAAACCAGGCACAAAAAGACAAATAACACATGTCCTCACTCACATGTGGGAGCCAAAAAAGTTGATCTCATGGAGGTAGAGAGTAGAATGATACACACCAGAGACTGGGAAAGGTTTATAGGCAGGAGGGGAGAGATGAAGAGAGGTTTATTAATTGCTTCAAACATACAGTTAAATAGAAGAAATAAGTTCTAGTGTTTGATAGCATAGTAGGGTGATTATACGTAACAACAATATATTGTGTTTTTCAGAATAGCTAGATGAGAGGATCTGAAATGTACCCAACACATAGAAATGATAAATACTCAGGTGATAGAGGCCCTAAATACCCTGACTTGATCATTACAAATTCTATGCATGTAACAAAATTTCACATGTACCTCTTAAGTATGTACAAATGTATCAAAAATATTTAAAAATTTAAATTTTAATTAATTAAAGAAGAAATTATGTGATTTATTTCAGAAATTATATGATCATTCTATTAAACCTATCAGAAGCTGTTTTCTCAGACTGTATTGTAAAATATCTTTTCCAATTAAAATCAATCATTGGCCAACTGCGAGGGCTAAAGCTTGTAATCCTAGCACTTTGGGAGGCCGAGGCAGATGGATTGCTTGAGTCTAGGAGCTCGAGACCAACCTGGGCAACATGGTGAAACCCTGTCTCTACTAAAAGACAGAAATTAGCCAAGTGTTGAGGCTCGCATCTATAATCACAGCTACTCCAGAGGCTAAGGCGTGAGAATTACTTGAACCTAGGAGGCAGAGGTTGCAGTGAGTTGAGATCACACCACTGCACTCCAGGCTGGGAGAAAGAGCAAGACTCTGACTCCAAAAAAGAAAAAAAAAATCAATCTTCATTTCATTTTATAAATAACCTTTATATTTTCTACCTCCTATTATCAAAAATAAAATGATGTGCTAGTTTTATATTTAGCAATTTTTTTAGACTCTTTCATAAAATATCATCAAAAAGTTTAATCCCAGCACTTTGGAAAGCGGAAGCAGGTGGATCATTTGAGGCCAGGAGTTCAAGACCATCGGCGCCAACGTGATAAAACCCCATCTCTACTAAAAATGCAAAAATCAGCTGGGCTTGGTAGTGCGCACCTGTAATCCCAGCTACTCTGGAGGCCGAGGCACAAGAATTGCTTGAACCTGGGAGGTGGAGGTTATAGTGAGCCGAGATGGCACCACTGCACTCCAGCCTGGACAACAGAGCAAGACTGTCTCAAATTATTTTTCATTTTACTAATTACCAAATGTGTGATATTTTGTGTTCTTCGGATTAAGTGTGTACTAGTAATAATTTTATGATAAAAATTTTAATCTTGGCCAGGCACAGTGGTTCACGCCTGTAATCCCAAGCACTTTGGGAGGCTGAAGTGGGTGGATCATGAGGTCAGGAGTTCAAGACCAGCCTAGCCAACATGGTGAAACACCATCTCTACTAAAAGTACAAAAATTAGCCTGGGTGGTAGTGGGCACTTGTAATCCCAGCTACTTGGGAGGCTGAGGCAGAGAAGTGCTTGAACTTGGGAGGTGGAGTTTGCAGTGAGTGGAGATCGCACCACTGCACTCCAGCCTGGGTGACAGAGCGAGACTCCATCTCAAAAAAACTAAACTAAACTAAAATAATAAATTAAATTAATCTTTTGAGGCTTAGAGTCACAGAAAATTTATTTCCATTCTTGTATGCTTTTTGCAGGCATGTATGGTAAGGTGACTAATAAAGGGCCTTTAAACATTAAAAATACATACATTACTATACATTATGTAGAGAAGTTGAATGGAATGGCAAGTTCAAGGAGATAGAAAAATTACATAAAATTTCTGACTGCTAAAGAAGACCTTGTTCGTGTTTTTTTAATCAACAATTATGAATATCAAAGGAGTATGGTATTTTTATTTCACTGAATGCATGCAAAAATTTGATGAAATCAATTTAAAAGTATGAGTATTCACAATATGCTGGAAATAACACTAAAAATATTTAAGCTTATGATAAGAAATTTCAGATGTTCATTTCAAGATGTGTGATGGAGTCGATTATTTTCCAAAATGATTTTAGGTGGTAAATAATTAGAAAGTATGAAGATCACTGCTATAGAACAGTCTCAGTGAATTCCAAAGGGAAATTCGGGGTAGCAGGGGGAAAAGTTAGAGACAAAGATTTCTTTTTATTTTATGACTTTTTAATTTCTAGATATATAGCAGAAACCGCTACAACTTGATGTATACATGCTTATTCACCAGGGTGGTTACACAACCTTGCAATGGGTGAAGTTTAGGAACCTTTCTGAGCAATCCACAAATACGGTACTTACTCAGTTTGGTCACTAGGTGGCTAAGGTGCACTGGGCACGAAGCCCTCTTCCCCTTCTTGCACCCTGCTCTCTCAATCTTCCATCTCTTCCTGAAAAGAGGAAAAGAATACTAACAACAGTAATAACAACAACAAACCACACTAGCAGGAAATATCTGCTTCAGGTCTTTCCATTTGCCAGAGACTGTAATAATCCCTTTGATCACTGAGAATTTCAGAAGTGACCTTGTTTGTGAACATAATCTATATTACTACATTAATAAATTATTCTTTTTATGTATTTATTTTTTGAGGCGGAATCTCACTCTGTCTCCCAGGCTAGAGTGGAGTGGCACAATCTTGGCTCACTGCAACCTCCGCCTCCCAGGTTCAATCGATTCTCGTGTCTCAGCCTCTCAACTAGCTGGGACTACAGGCACATGCCACCACGCCTGGCTATTTATTTATTTATTTATTTATTTTTGTATTTTAGTAGAGATGGGGTTTCACCATGTTGTTCAGGCTGGTCTCGAACTCCTAGCTCAGGCAATCCACCTGCCTTGGCCTCCCGAAGTACTGAGATTACAGGCGTGAGCCACCACACCAGGATAATTATTCTTTATTAATACATTTACAAAAAAAAAGTTGATTAATACAACTCTATGAAATAATCATGCAGCTTGACCACAAAAACCAAACCCTATCTAGCTAAGTACTTTGTACCCAAACCAAAAAATACCCAGGCTAGAGTGCAGTGGCGAGATCTTAGCTCACTGCAACTTTTGCCTCCCAGGTTCAATAGATTCTCCTGCCTCAGCCTCCCGAGTAGCTGAGACTACAGACACACGCTGCAATATAGCAGCAATAGCAGCAGAATCTGTGACATTCTAAGCACTGAGCTAAGCCCTTCATTTCACTACATCTTCAAATGACTCTAAAAGATAGGTGCTAATATTACTCCCATGTTACAGGTGAGAAGGCAAGAAAATGGCCCCAAATCATTGAACTAGTAAGTGATAGAGCTGGGATAAAAATGCAGGTTTGGTTTTGTTTTTAACTTCAATACACATGCATTTAAATATTACAGTTTGACATTTCAGTGAGGTGTGTGTCTATCTTTCTATACACGTCTATGCACATGTTTCTATTCCTGCGATTCCACGTGATTTTATGTCTCTGATTCTCTGCACGTGAGAATGCATTTGAATGTGGGTTTGTGAGGTGTGTGCATACTCACATGTGAACTCAAGATCTTTTAGAGATCCTTCTGGTAATGTCCACATCTACTTTTATACAGTATATGCAGGAGAAGGAGCTTGATAATTTCCATTCTGTCTTGAAGAGACTAAGACAAGGGCATATTAAAAGTCCTAGCCTCCTTTGAAAAAGTGCCTCTGGCTGGGTGCAGTGACTCACGCCTGTAATCCCAGCACTTTGGGAGGCCGAGGCGGGTGGATCACGAGGTCAGGAGATCGAGACCATCCTGGCTAACATGGTGAAACCCTGTCTCTACCAAAAACACAAAAAATGAGCTGGGCGTGGCAGCATGCACCTGTAGTCCCAGCTACTCAGGAGGCTGAGGCAGGAGAATCTCTTGAACCCGGGAGGCGAAGGTTGCAGTGAGCTGAGATAGCACCACTGCACTCCAGCCTGGGCAACAGATTGAGACTCCATTTCAAAAAAAAAAAAAAAAGAAAGAAAAAGAAAGAAAAAGTGCTTCTTTGTGGTTAGGTGTCTGTGTTTTTCATATGTATAAATTGCATGTGTCTCTAATGTCTGTGTATGTGTAAATCTGTGTTTCTGTTTGTGGCATGATTAAGTCCATGAATGCATCCACGTACCGACACTGGCACATGCATGCATGTATATTCATATATTCAATGTGCATTTAGGACTTGTATTTCATGAACATAGGCATACATCTGTAGATCAGTGTATGTGGATATGTGCATGCCAGTGTGTATATATGTTGACATGTGAGGGTGCATGTCTCTACATCTGTGCATTTGTGTGCCTGTGGCTATCTGTATGTACATATGCATGTTTTAGAGTGTATTTGGGTAGGTATTATCTAGAAATATGTGTATGTCTCTTACATTCTTAAAATGTACTCTGCTTGAGTGTTTCTGTGTGAGTATACATGGCATGAGTGTACATCTGCATGTTCATTTGAATGTCTATATATGCAAGTACATTTACAGGGTGCTTTGTGCATGTGCCTGTAATGGTTTTTTTTTTTTTTTTTTTTCTTTTTGAGGTGGAGTTTCACTATTGTCGCCCAGGCTGGAGTGCAATGGCACGATTTTGGCTCACCGCAACCTCTTCCTCCTGGGTTCAAGCGATTCTCCTGCCTCAGCCTCCTGAGTAGCTGGGATTACAGGCACCCGCCACCATGCCCAGCTAATTTTTGTATTTTTAGTAGAGATGGGGTTTCACCATGTTGGCCAGGCAGGTCTTGAACTCCTGACCTCTCGTGATGCACCTGCCTTGGACTCCCAAAGTGCTGGGATTACAGGCATGAGCTGCCATGCCCAGCCTGCAATGTGGGTTTTGAGTGTGTCATCATTTCAGTGGGTGAAATCCTGTCTTGTTTGGGGGCAGTAGCCGTGTCTAGGTGTACATATGTAAGTCTGCGGGAACTTACCTGTATTCACCTGTATTTATCTCTACACAAGTCCAGGCATATAAGATAGCATCTATATCTGTGTGGACATGTTTGGTCCCTATGTTTACCGCTTGCAAATATTCATCTGTGTGAGCTTCTGCATGTCTATGTATCCATGTGTACATAATATACATATACTCACACACTGGGTGTGAATCTCTGTCTGTGCCTGCACATTCTTGCTTGTTAGATTAAGATGCCAGGAATCATTTAATCCTTACAACAGCCTTGAATGCAGGGACCACCATCATCCCCAATTTATAAGTGAGGAACTAAAGATCAGTGAATTAAAGTACCTTGCTTCTGGTCATATGGCCAATACGTGGCAGAGACAAATTTCAAAACCAGGTCTGACAGACATGAAACACATATTCCTTGTGCTCTACCACAGAGCATTTCAATACCTAATGTGCCCGGGTCATAGCACCAGGGAGTAGTGGAGCCAGGACTGGAAGCAGGCAAGTCTGCCTCTAAATTTTATGTTCTGAACCTTGATTCTTTCCTGAAGTTATCTCATTTAATCCTTGCAATATTCTAAAAGTAAATATTGCATCCATGTTTACAAATGGGTAAACCAAACTCAAAGAAATAGTCACCTGTCAAAGCTCTGTGTGAGCATTTAGGCCCTCTCCTCATATTCTGTGGAGCAAACAATGTGGTATTGGGTATTCGATGTAACTGACTGAGTTTGTCCCTTATGAGTGAATTTGAATGTTCTAGAGTGAGTGTACATATCAAACTGCTTTTTCTAGGTGCTGTAAGGCCTTCCGAGTATTGTGTAGCAAGTCTGGGAATTATGTGAGCCAGCTGTGAAATTTGGGACAAGTCTATTGTTGTGGACTGAGAATGTGCATTGTGGATTACACTTCCCTGTATGTGCCTCTTTGCATCCTGATATGAGTCTAAGGTAGGAGCATATAAAGACCCTGAGGCAGGCCGGGTGTGGTGGCTCATGCCTGTAATCCCAGCACTGTGGGAAGCTAATGCGGGTGGATCACAAGGTCAGGAGTTCAAGACCAGTCCTGGTCAAGATGGTGAAACCCTGTCTCTACTAAAAATACACAAATTAGCTGGGCGTGGTGGCAGGTGCCTGTAATCCCAGCTACCTGGGAGGCTGAGTCAGAGAATTGCTTCACTCCGGGAGGCGGAGGTTGCAGTGAGCCGAGATCACACCACTGCACTCCAGGCTGAGCGACAGGGTGAGACTCGGTCTCAAAAAAGAAAACAAAAAAGCCATGAGCCAACCCTGAGTGTTCTGGGTGAAATGGCATGGCTCTGTGTAGTGGTGCAAGGCCAGATGTTGTGGGTCAAATGTGGTGAGGTGAGGTAAGTCTGAGTGTGGTAGAGAACATCTTTTTGTTACAAGGGAAGTCTCTTTGCATTGAGAGTTGGTTCTATGTGCTTTTGAATAATGAGCTTTATGTTGTGGCATGAGTCTTTCTGATAGGAAAGTAGGTTGTGATCAAGTATGTGGGTTATTCAAAGTATAGGTAAGTGTAGGTCCTGTGAGGGAGTTCCTTGTGGTGCCAATCTGTGCCAAGTGGGATAGATGTCTGCACTGCAGGTTTCTTCTCTACATTAAAAGAGGCATATATAGTCTGGGTGCGGTGGCTCATGCTTGTAATCCCAGCACTCGGGGATTCGAGGAGTGGATCATGAGGTCAGGAGTGTAAGAACAACATGGCCAAGACGGTGAAACCCCGTCTCTACTAAAAATACAAAAATTAGCTGGGCGTGTTGGCACATACCTGTAATCCCAACTACTCAGAAAGTTGAGGCAGAGAATTGCTTGAACCCAGGAGGCAGAAGTTGCAGTGAGCCGAGATTGCACGACTGCACTCCAGCCTGGGTGACAGAGCGAGACTCCACCTCAAAAAAAAAAAAAAAAAAAAAAAAAAAAAAAAAAAAAAAAAAAAAAAGAGGCATATCTAAATGGCACACAGGGAATCTGTGGATGTCGTACATCTCTCTCTATATATTTTTTTCTTCTCAAATTCCTTTTTTCCATAGGTTATCTCTATAAAGTATGGACCCAGTCAGTCATGGGCATCTGGTTTGGGGTGAGTATGCTTTGTGAGAGTGATTCTAGGTGCTGGGACTTTTATGATTATGATTTTCTGGATGCAATTACATGCAGTGCTAGGGGAGTCTACAGAGTATGGATCATGTCCTCACCTTGTAGGGCATGTCCTGGTGTTGTGGTCTATACATGACTGTCTGCATATTGTGGGATGTGTCTTAAAGTCATGGGGTGAGACTATATATTTCATGGGTTGATTCTGGACAGCTATAGTAAATCTCCATGTGATGGAGCAATATTTGCATTTTATAGTGCGTCTGTGCCTTACAGGAAATTTATGTTTTTTTTGTTTTTTTTTTTTTTCCTGAGGCTTGCAGTCCCTCAGGAATGGGGCTCTATCTATACCTAGCATGGCAATTTTGGAAC